AGTGATCTCTCCTACACAGAAGGATTAAATTTATTCCAGTGAATAAATGACTTTGTTGTCTTTTGTATACAATGTAAACTTAATAGCAATACAAAATACTGTTATTGGTTCTTATTTTGCTATTTATAATAATGAAATAGCAATGAAGTTGTATTTCGTACTGCAAGAGAGAGGCATTACTTGTAATAGTAACAACTGGAGCCAAACATTATGGAAGTTAATGGAAGGATACCTATTGCTTGAAGTGGCAGGCAGAAGATTTAGGGTCTAACCTACAAGTGTGGTCCCAAAACTATATTTATACCTCCACTTCGGTGGGGGGGGCAAGGACAGGGAAGGACACTGCATTCATCATTTTACATGAACACTTTCTGTTACCTCCATACACTCAGCTTTGTCCCAGACTTATCTAGAAATGCTGCCATGAAACTACTTCTACTACTGTGCTTGTGTTCCTAGATGCACAGCTTATAGAACAAGAGGTTCTGATTCCACGAAATATATCTTTACAATCATTTTCAAGTAACAAAAGCAATTCCTGCATGCTTGGTCCTACCTGATCTACCAACGCTGACAGGCAAGCACTGAGTTACCGCTGGCTAAAACTCCAGCTCAAATCAACCACTCGTGGACCAGAGTGCAAAGGATTCGTTTTACCTCAGGTTGGCCTGTTCAACCTAATTCACGTCAGTTCCCACAGACTTTTGTTTTTATTAGTTAATTACGCATTATGCTAACAGCCAAAACATTTTTAAAACCTATATTATGCGCAAGTCCTTTACAAACTACAGGATCTGAAAACTTTTACCTGTAGGTATGTCCTGGTTTCGGCTGGGATAGGGTTAATTTTCTTCCCAGTGGCTGCTGTGTTTTAGATTTAGTATGAGAAGAATGTTGACAATACACTGATGTTTTCCGTTATTGCTAAGAAATCAAGGACTTTTTTCCAGTCTCCCATGTTCAGCTAATGAGCAGGTGTGCAGGAGCTGGGAGAGAGCACAGCCAGCCAGCCAGCCCAAGCTGCCCAACGGAAATGTTCCACACCATGGATGTCCGGCTAAGTTTATCAATGGGGGTGGGCCGGGGTGGGGCAGGAACTCTTTTTCTGTGAGTTCGATCTGTTCCTCGAGTTCAGCGAGTTCTTTTCCTTTGTTGTCTTATTAACCTGTCTGTATCTCAACCCGCAAATTTTACTTTTTCCCACTCTCCTCCCCACTCGGTGGGAGAAGTGAGCGAGCAGCTGCGTGATCCTAGCTGCGGGTGAGCGGCTGCATGGCCCTAGTTGCCAGCTGCCAGGTTAAACCACGACAAGGTGAAACATGGTCAGGAACTAAGAAATGATCTGTCTGGAGGCTCATGCGTGATGAATTCTGCAGAGCCACCTCCTCGCTGGAAGGGCACCCATCTCCTTAAAAGTCTCTCGGCACCCAGAGGAATTGCTAGTAACACTTGGCAGGGAACAGAGACACCGTTTCATCCTACCAACATGTCACCTCGCTGCTTTGAAGGGACCTAGCAAAAAGTATGGGGATCCTAGCAATACTCTTCCTTACCCTGTGGAGACAGGCTCTCAGCAGAGACATTTTGTTATTTACTAAGCTAACAGAAAAGCAGCTCAGGAGAGTCCTGTACCTGCTCAGTTTCATGCTGAATTAAACTGGTCCCAGCATCTTCAATCCTGAGCAACACATGTGTAGGAAAGGCACATCTGTATTATCCCCTTGGTGAGCTGCCCCAGCTTGAGCTCAGTCACAGCCCTTAATACCCCTCCATCCTATTGCATCTTCAATTTATTTGCACTTCCCTTCAGCCCCAAGCTAGATGAGGCAAAATACAAGTGCAGCCAGAGGACTAGCATCAATCACCCTGCAGCTTCCTGCAGAGGTTCAAAAGCAGCCAAGGGGTCCTTTATATGGAAAAACTTATGATCAGCCTAACTAGCAAAATACGCTGTTCCACTCTATCTACCTACAAAGAGCTCACCAGGCTGGTGTTCTGTTCCAGAACAAAAGTGACTTTGACTTTTTAATCCACATTCTGATAATTATCTGGAATGAAACAACTTTTTATTGCAGAGTAGAGCAGCCCATCAGGGAACCGCTGCAGCAAAGATAACTGCATCAGAATAAGGTATGGCAGTGTATGAAAGAAAATTTCCCAGCGCAGAAAGCCTAATATCTCAGAATTCCTGAGATGTTATCTCTGACCTACTTTGCGCAAAGTACCATAGAGATATCTCCACATAGGCATTCAATTATTTGTTGAAATCAACAAGTACTTTTGTGCTACACAGAATTAGTACAAGGGGAAAAAAAGAAGAGTAGAGGAGGATGATAGGTGGAAAGAAGTGTTCTTTTTGTAGCATTTGCAGTACAGGAATTGATTTCACAAACACGCTCATCCAAGCAATGTAGTTCATTCAGCAGACCGCCAACTCCCATCAAAGAGTCATTCTTAACTTCAAATCAGCATGCCCATAACAGAAACAAATGAACGGAAAAGAGCAGAACAGTTCTTTAGAAACAGCCCAGCTGCCTCATGCATCCGACACTCCAACATACAAATGTTTTCATTGAAGGGGAAAAAAGTGCCAGCCCTGAAGCTGAATATCATAATTTAAAATGGCCATCAAAACCTAGCTACGTACACCATGCAAAGAGTGTAACCCAAGACACTAAGCACATCCCCAGAGAAGACCAAACCAAAAAAGGACACTTCTGGAGTTCTTACAGTATTTTCAAAAGCAATGTTCCTGACAAAGGATTTTACAAGGCAATAAAACACTTTACTAGATAATTAAATTATCCTAAATTGGCTTTTGCTAACTGCCCGGTTTATTACAAGGACAGCTGTCCCCAGGGATTAACAAACTCTGCGTTGAATATGAGAAACGTTACTGTATTTTTTTGCTTCTCTGAAACCTTGTGAAATATTGAAAGGATTTGAGAGACAAATCCGGAACAAACTGATTTAAGGAGTATAAATTAGTAAGTATTCCAGTAAATGGTGTGGTATAACATTACAGGGAGAGTTGCTTTTATCTTCAGAGCACAGTTAATCTCACTTAAGCCAGAAAGTCCACTCCAGTGCACACTGTTGCAAAATTTAGCTCAGTTAGTGCAGATATGAAATTTGCTACCATTTATGGGATGATAATGGCTGTTTTTATGATCTGTGAAAATTAAAACCTTCAACTGATAGTACAGGAGGTTTAGTATACAACGGCACCGCTGCACTCTAAGATACTGTTTCTTAGAACAGTTCTGTACCTTTGATAAGCTATTGAGTGAAAGAGGAAAAAGAAAAATTCTAGTTTCTCTGATTAAAGAATAAAAAAAATTCCCAGATTAAAATTCTACGCTAAATCAAATTCTCAGGTTAGACTGGAAAGAAATTTATTTTCATCTTAAATTTTTTCTTCCCAGATCCTCAGAAAAAGGCAGTAAAGAGAAATAAATATTACTAGTGCTTTTAGTAGTTATTAGAAAAACATAATTCAAATAATATTAAGAGAAAAAATAATTCTCCATGTGAAATCACTTATGGTAGCCTATCTGCTTGTAGAGGCAAGATAAAAAAGGTCCATTATTACTGAAGCCTTAACATTTAATCAATGCAATTTCCAATTTCTAACAATAAATTCTGTAGCTGTAACCACACAAAAAAATTCCATCAATTGCAAACTGGGTGTAGAGACTCTGAAACCTGCACCTCTTACAGCATGATTCGTTAGTCCAGTAAATACCTGCCAACACCTTGCTGACAGATGTGACCACCAACTGAAAATGAAATGACAGGGCAGACGAAAAGTATAGCAAATGCAGTATCCTTGATAGGGATCTAAACTGAACGATGGATTAAGTTTTGTTTGTTTAAGATTAGGATACTGGTTGGTTTGGGTTTTTTTCCAGAGGATGATTCACAGAAGCATCTTAGCTTTTGGGTTTTAGGCATTAAACCTTAAGTACTCTGCCATCTAGTAGTATTGTCAACCTGAAAACAGTCAGCTGCATTGCCAGTACCTGCAGGTTTCAGCTCACGTCCTCTACTCTTTCTTCCCTTGTACTAATTCTGTGTAGCACACACCCATCAATACTCAGGGAAGGAAGCCATTTGATTTTGAGCCTTATGAATCCAATTTGACTTAATGATCTTCAAAACAAGAAAGTTTGAAAATTAGTGTTCTCTATAACTCTTGGAGGTGTTAGCAACCTGGAATGAGATCTACAAGAGACACAGTATTGAACAAGGGTTACCCAAGCTTCCCTCTAGGAAATCCTGAGGAAAAGTATGCACCTGCTCTCATTAGGGGGTCAACAAGCATGGGCCATATGAGCACAGAACTAAACAACAACGGGTTTCCTTAGGTTTTATTTCTGATTATTAAATTATTTTAAGTCTAACAATACATAAATGGCATTACAATTTTTCCCCTATGGCTGTGATACCTGAAACGTCTCTGTCCCTTCTGGATTCTGAAATCTTTAATAAGAAAGTGTAGACCACATTGTACAAGCTTGAAATGTTCTTCTCTACCTACTCACCTATTTTATTGAACGTTACAGAAACACAGTATCTTTGAAACTACTATATTCAAACTTAGCTGAAATTAGTTAACAGGTTTCAAAGGTATCATTAACACTGTCAGGCTTAAGCAAAATTATGCACAGAAGAATATGTAGAGTGGAACAACATAAGCTTTACTTCAGTAGGAACCAAGGCTGAAGACACTTAAATATTCATGGTAGAAGGGACAAGCCACTCTCTCTTCCCCACAGCACTGAAATGGCCGCTAGTCACCTCGCTCCCTCCTGCTAGGCTAGCATTGCAAGTTCAGATGTTTTTGTCCCCCAAACACAAGTGAAGGATATCAATTATTTACTAAAAAAAAACCCACACCAAACCCAACAACCTTTGTTCTCATTAGCATAAATTTAACATGGAGAGCATCATACTGTGACTTGCAGTAACTATAGATGCAATAGATCATATTCATATACCATGATATATGGTGCTGCTGTTGCTGTTAAGATACGATTCAACCAATGGCGCCTGTTCTTCTGAATGTTTCGTCCTGCGTGTCCTTGTGCGACTGTCCACATTGGACTGAACCATTAACGGCTCCTGGCGCTTTTTCTTCTGCTTCTGTTCTAGCAATGCTCGCTGAGGAAAATACAAAGAAAAGCATCTGTTACCGGAGTCCAAACAGTAGCAATCTCTGATGAAAAACAATGGATATCTTTACACCTTCAGTTTTCCAGTGGCAGCACCTGGCAAGTGGGATATTGGGATATACGGTTATAGGAAATCATTCCAAAAAACCTCCAACCAACCCACTGCTAAAATACCTTCTGCTGAAAACAGGAAATAATTAAAATAGATCTTTCTGAGCAGTCTACCAGCTGTCAGAGCTTGCTTGGAAATAACCCTCAGGAAAACAACATTGTGACAGTAGTGGCCATGAAGCAATGGGAGGGTAAGCAAGGGCATGAGGCAGAGATACCAATTTAAGTTGCTGTAAATTAAAAACAGGTAATCTGCAAACTACAGTCAAGTGATAATGCTGGACATGAGCCTAATGTAACAACTACACAAGATGAACTTTAATTAAACACTTGAATTTCTCACCTAGACCTGCTGAAAACCAAAACCTTCAGCATCTGATGACACCATAGGCACCCCTCTCTTCTAGCCCTCTTCCACAACCTCAGAGAAATGAAGTGTTCATTTTACTTATCCATTACCTTACCATTTCCTGCTCCTATATGGTGATTACTTTGCTTTAGAAAGGAGATGCACTAAAACTGAAGAACAAGAATGGAGAGTGGACTCTTTCAGCTCCATAAGTTGTGTGGAACACCTCAATATGACTTCAAAACGATCACAATTTAGTACAGGATTATGGCATAAATCAAAAGTATTTGAATTTGAAAATGACATACTGGTAGATATGCAAGCTGGTAAAACAATGCGAGAAAAATGTATAGAACAACACAGACTCACAAGGTTTAACTATAAAAGTTATGACCAGGTTATGACAAGTGAAAATGGGACCAGAGAAAAATCAAAGGAAAAGTGGAAACCTCAAACCCCATTCAAACGTGATGGCAAAATTCCCTGAGATGTCATGGAAGAGATTCTGAATCATTTTCTTGTACAAGTCATGTAGGAATACAGTAGCAAAATAGGCAACATAGCACATAGTGCCACTAGTTTACAGCCACAAGGGTTAAATCCATGGAATTAAAAGATGTAAAAACTTTGTGGTAAACCTCTGTTGGCTGGCAGGTCTGCCAGAATCTCTTGTCCTTTCTGGTCCAACAGAGGTGTAACAAATACATTACAAAAGTCAGCTTAAAACAAGTCCAAGGCAATGGAAATGAGAATCACTCAAACCACAGTCATAAGAAAAATTTCAGTGGAAACTAGACTTCTAAGTAAGCTTTAACCTCCACAGATCTCTCTTTTGCATTCCCGCATCAGAGGATGTAATTTTCTATCAATTACCAGATATATGTCAGTGACTTCATTACTCCGAGATCTAGACTTCAGAGAGCAAGAAGGTCCCCCTCCAAAATCTTACCTGCCTGTCAAGCTTCTGCTGACGCAAGCTGCTCCCCTCATCATCCAGAACACTGCAAAGACAAAGAGTATGCAATTGGAACAAATTTATCACTGAAAACAACACCTAAGAGCAATCACTGGAGCAAAGTCTTGCAGGAGTTATTCATATAAAACTCCCACTATGTTCCACGGAAGTTTGCCTGGCCTAAACTGCAAAAGTTGGCTCAAGAGAATTTAAATGCAGTCCATAAAAAAATGAAAAACTCTGTTTCACATAATCTCAAAATAATATATATTCAGCCAGTTCATGAAGAAATGCAAAATCCTCAGTCTACAGCTTGTTCCTTCTCCACTGTCTTCTAATGCAAAACACTGATGTATACAGCTATGGGGTTCGTTTGAAAATTTGCATATAAAGCATAGAAAAAGGGAGGAGTGTGAGAGAGCTGCTTAGCAACTAGACAGTATTTAAAATTACCTTAGGAAAATTAACTGTCTAATGTTTTGCACACTGAAAACCATAATTTATTCCTGAATATCTGAAAAGTCACACCGATTACCATGCACTTCAGCTTTTAGAGACTGGCAAGACAAACAGTATTGCAGACGGCTATATGTTTTTCTGCTAATTGTTGCTAGCTGGGAGATTAGCTCCTGCACATTCAATCATTTTCATTAATTAGACGTTAAAAACTAATGGCACTGAATTCAGAACATTATTTTTGTGAAGTATTTTATGAAACTACTGACTGCACTACATTTTTCTGGAGACCAAAGGTCTCATAAGAATAGTACGGTTAAATGCTGAACATAGGTAATTAAATCTGTTAAACTGTAATATATCATCTACAAGGAAAATAGTGTTATAGAACAAAAAAAAATAATCTCTTGCAAGTAGAATTCATTTTCTCTTACAACATATTTTTATAAAAGATTAGCCCCTTTTTTATAATCACCCTTAACAATTAAAAAGAAAAAAAAGAAAAAATCCAAGATAAACGAACCTGAATTCTAACCTACACACAACCAAACTGTATTGCAATGGAAACATCATAAAACTTGTGACTTCCCATGTACTAACATATACTCTTCAGGAGACAGTAACATTATAGTAGAGTTACACAGGACAGCTATTAAAGGCATGCAGAATGCCACCTTTCCAATGCCAGCATTATTAAAGACCTAATTAGGCATTACTGGTAGCATCAGCCTTTTACAATTCATTCTCAGGTTACGTGTTACGAAAGGCTGATGTTCCACAGAACGAAGCTATGCTGTACACGTACCTCAGGTATGAAATTACAGTCTCTTGCAGAGGTAATGCATTACTCAGTCCACCAAAATATTAAAGAAAAAAACCTTTCACACTCACAAAAATGCTGTGCTTTATACCAAGCATTCTGCATTTGATAAACTACAGACACAAGTCATAAGACGACACACATTCCTCCATGAAATACAATATTGGGGTTTTTTCAAGAAAGCTTCACTGCAACTGCAATGCATATTAGCTGCACTGCTAGCAAGTAAAACTACCTGTATGGATACCTTTGGCCAAACAATTCAGTGAGAGAGGCCTAAGTATAAAGATTCAGGCTTAGTGGCCTCAACAAATCCTCCTTATTTAAGACAATGCTTGAAAAAAAACAAAACCATGTACTGATGCTAATACAGACCATAAGAACTGCAGAAGCAGCAATGCACATACAGCCGTAATACCCAGAGAGGTCAAGAGCCAACATTGCTCCACTCCACTAGTCACTTGCAGAGCTGAGGAGAAAACTCTGGTCTCTTCTCTCATCTTCTGCTTTATAAATCAGACTATGCTGACTCCTTCAGATATGTTACTTGAGCTATATAAGCACTTCTCAGACATTCCCATAAACCACCAGTTCAGTAATTATCTTTATGTGAATATGATGGTTTTCAGTATTATGCTGCATTGGCTAGAATTCTAAATTGTGTCCCTCAGATGAGGTGTCTAAGAGCTCTGGATGACTCTAGCTTCCTCTGCTTTCCCATCACACTGTATCCTGGTGTAACACAGTGCACAGCACCAGGGAGCAGGCAAATGTCTTCAGTCGGGTTCTAAACCTTACCTGGGACTCCCTGGGAAGCCACAACAAGCTAAATTCAGGTTCAGGTAAACAAGCACAGCTCCCTCAGGTCTCTTTATGCCCAACCTTACCACAGTAAACACGGCCGTTTAAGTAACACCATAGCAAACACCAGTCAGAGAAAGGGTGTCATTTGCACTGATTCAGCATCCCACGAATGCAAAGCAACTATCAGACACACCAAAGGACTGCCAAAAAAAAAAAATGAACCTCCATCCAAAAGCTGTGGATGCTGTAATGCTAAAACACCTCTCCATATTGCCCTTCTACTGCAAGACGTTGTTTTTAAAGCCTCTGAATATCTGCAATCAAAGCTGATGTCAAAAGCAGCATGTCTTGAAAACCATCTGACAAGCTCGTCTGGAACTTCCAAGTCCTTCATATTTCATAAAGTTCTGGGTTGTTTTCCATAATCCTTTTGTAAATATACATGAATCACAAACCTTGCATTATTTAAGCCATAACATTCAACAACTACAACTGAACTCCAGCTTTCTTCACCGATACCAAGGTTCAGTAGAACACAGTTATTTCAACAATTCTCACCCTCTCCAGGTTACTGGACTTGTACTAGAATGCCTTACTCCCACCAGACAGACACACCACTCTTCCAAATCCTTCACAGTGTAAAAAGGCCTTAAAAGTAATCTCATGACCACCAACTCTGTCTATTTTAACAGTTACTTAATGCCTTTATGAGTGAAAAGCTGCAGTTCTGTCCTTTCTTGATGCCCAAATAACTGCTATGCAAGTCCAAATAAAAAAAAGATCTGGTTTAGTCTATATATTCTTCTGTTAGAATAGCAGAGCACTTTAATTCAAGACTGTACCTTGTTAATATTTTCTACAGGACTAGTGGACCTTGGAGTCACTCATTAGCAGCCAACATTCCCTGGTTTTCAACTGAAGAAGTCTCCTGACACTGGGTGCCTCCCAAGATCTGCCATCAGGTTATTGATAAATAAATAAAAATAATAAGCTTTGTTCCCATAGCAATTCCATCAGGCCTTCACTCTTGCTGCCTTAAAAAACATCTACAGCAAATTCTAACTGTGTTACTACCACTGACCCTTCTGACCCTTCCTCACAAACACAAGTGAAGCCTTACAGAAGGCTTTAGCAGACGATCTTGCCACAGCATCTGGCAGTCCATGCACTCTGGCAGACGCTCCAGGGTCCAAGAGCTGAAATACAGGGAATCGCCCCTTTTCTTTCTTTGGAACACACAGAAGCCTAGGAGCAGAAGCACAGCCTTTGCAATTCCTGGTCTTTGAAAAGGGAAACCAACTGCTCTTTCCTCTGGAAGAGCTGCGCACGTGGAGACGACCCAGCCTGTCCTGCCCAGTTTCAGAAGTGGCCATGGTTTTGTTGCTCGGTGGTCCCAATAACTGGGACTGAAGGCACAGTACAGTGGAAAAGCTGTGACTGTAACATGGCAGGACCACTACAGGAAATAATCTCAGAGAGAGTAAGGCTGTTCGAACAATTCTGCCTACATGTTTGATGTGATGCTAGAAAATCCCAGCAGCAACATAAAACTCAGTCAGTCTTAATAGAGAAATATAACTTTATAATTCATTGTATTAGTGAAGAGAATGCATACATATTAGCAGTCTGCTGATGCATCCTGAAGATCCAGCAAGGTTCATTTTACTCCTATTTGATCAAGTATCATGTATTCACCTGGCATCTTGGCTATGGCTTTGACCCCATTTAAAACAAAAAGCAATTTTACACCATATATAATAATGTAAACAACACTTCAGGTCTGCAGTAATAGTCTAGTCCAAATTCAGTTACCAAATCAGAGCTTGTATGTATTTCCTTGCAGATAATTATCCAGGGAAGACTCATCCTTCTATGCATAACTCGAGCAACCCACCCATTAGAGCTTACTGGATGTTGGGCGTAAGAAGTCACGTCTATAGCTATATATCTTAAAGATTCATATTAGCAGCCGGGACCAAGGCCCATTGAGACTTAAGTATTAAATTTAGATGGCATTATTTTCACATTTTATACATGGCATTTGATTCAATATCCCCACCTCCTATTTTCTAAAGGGAAATACATTAAATGAACAATCACCTTTTTGTCAAAGCATTACTTTTCATACCACCTTTTTAAGACACAAATCTATTTTACAGAGACAGTTTCAACACTAAATTCAATTTACACAAAAACAGCCACGCTTTCTACAGTGCTGCATGTCATAATGAAGACAAAACCATAAGCAACGATTTTAGTATTCTAAGCTCTTCATAATCTGTATTCCTCAAAAATCATTTAGAGAGAAACCCAAGGCCAAACAGGTTTTAAAGATGAAGCCTCGTGATTATGTGAAGTTCCACAATTCACCCCAGAGATGAAGGCCAAAGCTTCTGTAAATCAACACCATGCTACATTTCTCTGTAATTCCACATGGACCAATTTCAATTTAAGTAAAATCGGAAAAGCCTTAATTCAAATAACACATTTCACAGCAAGTACTTCACCTTTATGCTTTGAACATGCAAACTGCTCATATTTCAGTAAGCCACTGCAAGAAAAAAGAATTAAGAAGAAACGTTTTCAATTAAAATGTGCAAGATGCAGGTAGCCACTGATTTTATTTACTTTTTCAAAAGAAAAACTCTGACATAGTAAGGCAGCTCTACTGTCTCTGCCTGATAAATGAGGCAATGTTTGTGTTCCTTCCTGACACTGCTTCATAAAGGAACGTTTTCCATGACAGCAATTTTTTACCAGGATAAAGGTCCAAAATCACATCTATCACATCTCTGCACCCCAGCACTGAGTGCAGTGAGAAGTATTCCTGCTCAAACAAGCAAAGACATACACTGCCACTAAACTTCCATACACTGTTTAAAGTGTCACCCTCGCATTTTCCTTTCTGCTGCTTCATGATAATCCATTACTTACAGCTGCACCCAAAAACCCTACGTGAAATCAGG